TTCCAAGTCAGATGAAGTCAGAGAGACCCACTCGGAGACGCATTATGATCAGACTTTCAAAAGACAAAGAGAGAACCGTGAAAACAGCAAGAGAGAAAAGACTCATCACATCCAAGGGATCCTCAGTATGATTATCTGCAGATTTTTCATCAGAAACTTTGGATTTCAGAGAAAGTGCACCAATATGGTCAGAGCTATAAGAAGAGCCATAAGAAGAAAAACCGAGAATCCTATATCCAGCAAAACTGTGCTGCAAAGTGAGAGAGAAATCAAGTCATTGCTAGACAAACAAAAGCTGTGGCAGTCGGTGACCACTGGACCTTTCCTGCAAGAGCTGCTCCCAGGAGTCCGACAGGCGCAAGGGAAGGACTGGAGACAGTAGCAGGGAGCCATGCACGGAGTAAGGTCTCAGGGAAGGCTAACATGTGGCCAATTACAAAAGCTAAAAACCTAAATGTAAGACCTAAAACTATAAAACCCTTGGAAGAATACTTAGGACAAATGCCTCAGGACATTGGATTTGGCAGTGATTTCTTGGATTCGACACCAAAGGCACAGTTAACAAAAGAAAACATTGACAAATTTGACTTTGTACAAAATTACAGATGTTGTACATCAAAAGACACAATCACAGAGGAAAAAGGCAACCCACAGAATGAGAGAAAATACTTGTGAGTCATATATCTGAGAAGGGATTAACATCCAGAATATAAAGAATTCCTGAAGCTCACCAACCAAAGAGAATCTGGTGCAAAAATGGACAAAGGACTTGAACAGATGTCTCTTCAAAGAAGATGTACAAGTGGCCATTAGGCACTGAAAATATACTCGACATCACTAAATATTAGGGACTTAGAAATCAAAAGTACGAGATCCCACCTCATACCATTGTGATGGCTACTACTGAAAAATCAGAGGGGCACCTGGGTGGCTCAGCTGGTTAGGTGTCCGACTCTTGATCTCAGCTCAGGTCTTCATCTCGGGGTTGTGAGTTCAAGTTCCGTGTTGGGGGGATAAAAAGAAAAAAGATAAAAAGAAAATCCAGAAAACAACAGGTGTTGGTAAGGATGTGGAGAAACTGGACCCCTGTGCACAGTTGGGGAATGCAAAATGGTGCAGCCACTGTGGAAAACAATATGACAGTTCTTCAAAAAGTTAAAAACAGAATTACCATATGAAGCAGCTATATATATATACTACAGGGTATATACCCAAAAGAATTGAAAAGAGGGTCTCAAAAAGATATTTGTCTCACTTTCATAGCTGCATTATTCACAATAGCTAAAATGTGGAAGAAACCCCCATGTTCACTGATGGATGAATGATGAACAAAATGTGCTCTGTCCACACAAAAGAATAGTCTTCAATCTTACAAAGGAAGGAAATTGTGCAATATGATACAACACGGATGAACCTTGAGGACACTGTGTTCAGTGAAACAAGCCAGTCACAGAGACAAATACTATGGGATTCCACTTTTATGAGTTTCTTAGAGGGGTCACAACCATACAGACACAAAGTAGGGTGGCGGGTGCTGGGCAGCATGGGGACTTAGTTAAAAGAATGACTCAGTTTTACAAGATGAAAAGCATTATGGAGACAGAGGGTGGTGATGGTTGTACATCACTATGAATGTATTAATGCCCCTGAACAGTACAATGGCAAATTTAATGTCATATGTATTTTACCACAATTTAAAAAAAGAATACGCAGAAAAGGTGACAAATAGGACACTGCATGGACTGTGAAAAGGACACGTTTTTCAGCCTGAGAGCAGAAGCAGGAAGGTGGAGCGGTGCCCTTTCCGATCTCAGCTGCATTGGCAGCTGACCCTTCCCCGCTCTGCACGTCAGCGAATGGCCTCCCAAGGGCCTGGAGTATCGATTTTGGGCGACAAACAAATGTGAGCAACTTCACCTTGGAGGACAGACTGTGAAGGGAGCCCCATGACAGCGGCCTGTATGCCGGGGTGCTCTCATCTCCCATTCTTTCCAAGGTACCTGCATGCTGCGTCTGTGACCCTTCGGCCCCTCAGTCCTGTCCCATGGCACATCTAGTCTGTCCACTTGCCGGTCTGCGGCCATTGTGGACAGTACTGCCATGAGCAGCCCTGCACAAGTTCCGGTGGGGGAAGATGAGTCCCACATCCTGGTGCTTCGGTGAAGGGACATTGGTCTGGAGTTTTCCTGTGATATCTAGGTAGGTTTGGGGGAAGAGATTAGTAAGAGGCAAACAAAGCATTTTTCCTAAACCTAACTGTGGGTTTACTTCCACATCTCTGTTAGAAGACCGATGACGGGCGCCTGGGTGGCTCAGTTGGTTAAGCGACTGCCTTCGGCTCAGGTCATGATCCTGGAGTCCTGGGATCGAGTCCCGCATCGGGCTCCTTGCTCAGCGAGGAGTCTGCTTCTCCCTCTGACCCTCCCCACCTCATGCTTTCTCTCTCTCTCAAATAAATAAATACAATCTTTAAAAAAAAAAAAAAGAAGACCGATGAGTCTTCACTTGGGGTAGTAATACAGTTTTCTCTTAAAGGACACATCAAGGTTCATAAAGTTAGTAAGTGAAGGACAGAGTGGGTGTGGCCACAGTCAAACCACGAAAACGGCATTATGTGACTGACATCTCAGAATCCGTGCTGTAGGAAAAGGACGTGGGACTTGGGTGTCACCTCCCAGGGTAGCCTTAGCAATGCCCTGCCCGCGGATGGACACTCACACGGTACTCAAGTCCGTCCTGAACACAGAGGGCGTCAAGATGGCGCCTGCTTCCTACCATCCACAGAAACACAACTGTCCCTGCCCCTCCCACCTGGACCAGTGTTTACAGTGACCGTCCCTTGAGGATGGCGAGAACAGAGCCCCAGTCTCCCCACTGATGGGATCATGAGGCTGGGCTTTGTGAAAGTTAGGGGCACTTTCCTATTTAAGTCTGACAACTACCTGAGGTGGGCACTGCTGTCTCATTTTACAGACCAGAACATTGAGGATCAGTTGGTCACAGAGCCAGTGACAAGGGGCTGGAGGTAGGGTCTGAACTGAGGTACCCCCAGGGTCCTTGCTCTCACAAGACAGAGAAAGGCAGGGGTTGCAGGGAACATGCTCACACTGGAAACCCTGGGGGTTCAGAAACCCTAAGCCAGCCAGTTAAACTTTGGGCTATTTCTCTGAGGACAGTGGAGAAGGGACAGTAAACAACTGAGACAAGATGCAGGGCCTCAGCAACAGGCTGAAAAGAGGCGAAGGCATCTGACCTTCCGGTGGGAAGTTAACACATTCCCACTTGCAAACACACAAAACCCGGAGCTTCCTGGGTCATCTCGGCTTCGGTGAATCAGCAGCATGGGGCACCAAGTGCCACCAGCACTCACGAGAGAAGAGTGGCCTCGGTAGGGCCTCCGTCCCCAGCCCCGCACGCACGAGTCGAGCCTGTGTGGCAGATGGCAAAGCCTGTGTGCGGATCTGTAGCTCACACGCTGCTCCACACCCACCTTGTGAGCAAACACCATGACCTTGGACGGCCAGGGCAGAGCTGTGCAACGTGGGGCTGGGCGCCTGGAGAACAACTGATAAACACAATACAGGGAAGCAGAAGAACAGGACAGAGAATGGGCTGAGGGAACGTGAGGTAATGAGGCAGAGCAGCTTGAGACCAGGCTGCTCTGAGAGGGTGGTGTATGAACAAACACGGGAGCGATGTGAGCGGCAGAGTTCCAGGCAGGGCAGTAGGCTGCAGGGGTGGCCACAGGGAAGGGGGACAAGAACAGGAGGACGCCGAGGGCTGTGGCCGAGCCAGGGGCCACGCAGAGGCAGCAGAGCCTGCAGATGCCCAGCAGCATGGGCGGCCGGGGACGAAGCAGACGTCACTGTGAGGAAGTGACAGCTGTGCGGGCTTCTCGGTATCATCAGCAGGACACCGGGCTCAGCAAGACCGCAGACGCAACGCCGTCTGACCTTGCGCCAGAGGACCGGCCAGAAGGGGAGGCCAGCGGATCTCCTGCGGTCCCTCTCTACGCATTCCCTTCCATCAGCACAAACAAAACTCAAAGAGCACGGACTGCCGGCCAGCGCTCTGGGCACCTGCAAGCGTTGCCTGTTCATCTCAGGATGACCTGAGGGGCACGTATGTTCAGACGGCCCTCATGTGCAGGAGGGACTGCGGCATCCTGCCTGCTTTAGAACCAGGCACCTGGCCCCACACCTCCTCCTGCCCCAAACACTGTGGCTTCTGCCCCCAGTGTGTGCTCAGTAACACCCCCCCCACTGTGAGCTGTACCTGTCACTCTGCGAGTGTCCCCGAGGCTGCTCTGCCCCGTGCAGGCGGCCAGTGCGCTCGCTACGGGCACAGAAGGTCCAGTCATGACCCAGTCAACCAGGAAATGCCATTTTCCAAACGTCACCTGCAGGCGGCTCTTCCCTTCAGTATTTTATTGTGAAACGTGAAGATTCACCCAAGTTTAGAGATGAATAGATGCAGTTCTGAGAAGCGAGCAGCACAAGGACCCACTTTGACTCAACAGCAGGGCACCCTCCCTTTCAACCATTAACCTACATTAGCAGCTTATTTTCCCATAAAATGATGCTGTCACAGCAAAGCTAGGCCCTCAGAGTGAAAAGTTAACCAAAGTTATAATTTAGAGCTAGCATCATTTTCCAATCCTAAAAAGACAGTGGAAAACACACACTAGCAACCACAAGCTTCATTCTTTGGTTCCTGGTTAATGCCTTTTTGTTAGTGAACTCCCTTGCTTCCAGTTAAAATATGAATGCATCAATATTATTTTTTCCTCAGTATTAAAAAATCAGAAGTCAATACTACTGAAGGTGGAAAATGCATTTTAAATTTTTTAAGCCTTTCTAATAAATTAATGTTGAGCAAATAAACATTACTTTCTTTCACCTGCCCCAGAGCCTAGAAACGAGAACCGTCTGGCTCTGTCCTGACAGACGACAGTGGGAGCTGCATGTGTGTGATGGGCACTGAGCAGCACCCCCCAGTACCTCGTTTCTGGATGAAGACCCGGAGCAGAGGGTTTGCGCTCGAGACCGCCTTGCAGAAGTTGTCATCGTTGTTGATGGGCAGCAGGTCCCCGTGCACGTCCGCATAGCCGATGGTCACATCAGTGTTGGAGATGTGGTGCGTGTGCACGACCAGCTTGTAGAAGTCTTCGAACTTCCCCGGCTTCTGACGGTCCAAGGAGAACCTTCGGAACTCCGCCCCAAACTACAACGCAAGAGACAGGGAGCAAATGAGTGGTGGATAAAGGTACCAAAATAAGGCTTGTTCACTGAATGACATGTGTGTGCCATCCACGAGGCCCGGGACACAGTGGTGGACAGTGTCCTTGTCCTCACGGAGCTTGTGCAAAGACAAAAGTGTGGGAAGCAGTTCCGCCAACGCTGAGGACAGGACGGGTGCTGGAGCTTGGGCTAGAGAGGAAAAGCAGTGTCAAAATTAATTACGAGGATGGTGGATGAAATGAAACAGGAGCCTTGGGGAGGGTATTCACCTGGGGTGGCTGTGCAGGCCCAGGTTAGGATCTGAACAACCCTGAGGCAGGGTCAGATGCTCAGAGGCAGGAGCAAAGCAAGGGCCAGCTGAAACCTCTGGACTTTTTCCTAAGAGCAATGGGTAGTCCTGTAACAATTTTAAGCAAGAAACTGATTTGAGATGATTTGCATTTTTAAAAGACCAAATGGCTATACTTCAAAAGGATCAGAAGCGGAAGCAAAAGTGAAGGAAGGAAGGAAGGTGGTAAAAAGGAGGCTTCAGAAATCTCGGGAGACAGGGCCCTGGTACTGGCCAAAAAGACAGAGCAGATCTCTCCCCCCGAAAGATGGTATTCCGTCTGTTTGCCCCAGGGAATGCCCAGGGCCCATCTTTTCTGACAGTCCCTGGCCTTGGCTCAGGTGCCCACGCAGTTCTCTGCTGGGAGAGGACCCTAGGTCACCTCCCACGGGCCGAGCCATCCTGGGATCTGAGGACACCACGGTTTGGCCTAAGGTTTTCTGGATTGGGACATGCTGTTTTTCCTTACTTGGCAATAGAGACTTTTATTCATCAGGACAGATTCGGTGCTCTTCAGTATAACCGAAAACTAATAATAGTGGTTCCAAAGTACACGTAAGTGAAACGTCTAATGTTTATACTAAACGAGTCATTATACCATCTAGACATTATGTCAACTAGTCAAGGGCAAATCAACTCAACCCATGTGGGTTTGTGTGGTTCTCAAACTGGGCAGGCATCAGAGTACCTGGAGGCCCCCAGAGATCTGGACTGGGCTGATCTGGAGACCAGTGCAAGAATTTGCATTTTTAACAAGTTCCCAGGATAAGCTGATGCTGTCAGGCTGGGGACCACACACAGTAAACCACTGATTTTAAGGGAATCCATCTCCAAATCTCCACGTCCACAGATCTCTGAGAACCAGAGTCTCCTGTTCCATTCCTCTTTTTAAAAAGCAAAAGAAAACAAACTCCTCGCCCATCCTGCATTGCCCCAGGAATAAAATACTTCAAGGCGCACAACAGTGGGACATTCCAAAATATTGGTTTGGGAAAAGCCACCTTCAGTGCGTAAGCAAAACTCCTAAGGCCTGCCTCCCACATACTGGGTAAGGGAAGGAAGGGCTCTGAGCTCAGCGCAAGGGGCCAAGGCAAGGCTCCCCCATCCCTCTGCTGTTGGGGGTACACAGCACAGCAAACCTGGAAATCCCCCCCAGCATTAAAGATAAGCGATATAAAGATTCCCAATATTTATTCCAAGCATGCAGGATGAGCTGGCCCAGGGTGAGCAATACGGAACCTCTCATACACAGGGGCTACATCTTGTGGCCACAAACCTTGTCAAGACTCAAGAACCCAAGCCTACAACATAAATTTAATGTGATTTTTTTTCAGATTTGGTTATGTCAGCACATCATGAATCTTTATTTGAACAGTAGCCATCATCTCTGCCATCTCATATCTAATATAAGTTAACTTCCAGAACAGTTAGTTTTTATCTGTATACCCCTCTTTTCATTAAATACATAAAGAGAGTTGGATGGTGTCTAATGAAACTAGCGAGTATCTCTGACTTTCATGATTACTCCCCCAAACCGGACACCACACACTGGCTCTAAGGGACTCCGGCTGCGTCTCTCACTCCTGCAGGACTCAGGACATCCCAGTGTGAGCATGAGAATCAGCACGTTAGACAAGCCTGTTCTGCGATGTTTCTGTCATAACTGCATTTGATCTAAGACACATCTAAGTTGTTTCTCACTTCTTCTAGTAGTTGTCTTCAAAATACGTCCTAACGTGTTGATTTGAAATGAAAATCCAGACTTCTTTGTGATAGAAAGCAAGTCTGACCTGTTTGATAATGAGGCTGACTTTATCAATCCAGCAGGATGGTGAACACGCTTTATATGTTGAATGAACCTCCAAGTTTAGCAAAAAGAGGTATGAAATGGGATATTAGCATTTTTCCTGCTTTTATTGTGGCAAAATACATAATATAAAATTTACCCTCTGTGCCAGGTCCCCACCATCCATGTGCCTTTTTATCCTGTGAACTGAGTCTGTCCCCATTAAACATGACGCCCCAGCCCCTCCCCCAGCCCCTCGCCACCATCTACTCCAGGACTCTAGGACTGTGACTCCTCTACGTACTTCATACAAATGGCATCATACAGTTTATGTCTTTTTGTGACTGGCTCGTTTCCCTGAACAGATATGTGATTTCTCCCATTCTGTGGGTTGCTTTATTCTGTGGACCCTGGTCCTTCTAAGGGGAAAGGTCACGGCTGTGGTCAGAGCACAAGGAAGAAAAGGTGGACTGTCTGGGACAGCTAACTTGTCTGCTAACCTAGAGCAGGCGCCCCAAGAGGATTTAACCCTAACATTTTATCCTAAGAATTCATGCTTGAGTACCCTATCACTCTTCTATGCAAGAAAAACAGATAAATTGAATTAAACCTTCTTTTCACATCGCCATAAGGCTCTATTTGTGGAGAGTATTTCTACATTGTTGTCAGTGGGTATGGAGTTCTAATTTTGCAAGATGGAAAGAGTCCTCACACATTCACAACAATGTGAATGGAACCAATCTTGCTAAACTGCTCAAAAACTGGCTAAGATGGTAAATTTAATGTATGTGTATTTTACCAAAACTATAATATAAAATAGATTTTTTACAGTAAAGAAGGTTCTAGCTTGAGTCACTACAAGTATTAAATCACAATTAGAACACAGTTACAAAATTTCATAATTATTAAACATCCAAAGTAAACATTTAAAAAATCTTTCCCTGAATGAAAAATGTTTAATGCTACACGAGGCAAGTGTAGCATCGGCTTTTTGGCTACTTCTGGCCGTGAATGTCAGCGCTGAGAGGCCTTCTCTCAGCAGCAACAGATGGGAGTGAGGGCTCTGAAGGCATGCCAGACCCCAGCCCTTCAACTCTTGACAAGTAATGTGCCAAAAGTAAATAATCATATCATTAAAATTATTTTTAATAATCTATTAGCTGACAATTTAATTAGGACAACTTTCAATGCCGTTGAAAGCAAAGTACTGGAAACAACTGGACTTGCAAGATTTCTTGCCCAATCCTTGGAACAATTCACTTTTTCAGTTTCTGGTAAGTTCATCAAGAATTACATGACAATGAATTGTGCCTGCTAATTATTGCATCTAGAGGAAACTTGTGTAATCTGATATAAAGGGGAAGTAAAAATATAAGATTAGTACCCCATGCCATTAATTTTTTAAATAAGATGCTTTTATTACAATGAAGTTGGATTCTTATGTGACACCATTACCAAGAGTCATTCAAATGGGTAAATGACCTCAATGTAGGACCTAAAACTATAAAATTCTGAGATGAAAACTTAGGGCAAAAGCTTTAGGACACTGGGGTTGGCAATGATTTCTTGGATAGGAAATCAAAGCACAGGTAACAAAAGAAGAAACAGACGTTAGACGTAGGGAAATCCACCTTTTGTGCATCAAGACATTATCCACAGAGGGGTGGCTCAGTCAGTTAAGCACCTGACTCTTGGTTTTGGCTCAGGTCATGATCTCAGGGTCCTGAGATCGAGCCCTGCACTGGGCTTTGCGTTCAGCATGGAGTCTGTTTGTCCCTCTCCCTCTGCTCCTCCTCCCACTCTGTCTCTCATAAATAAAATCTTTTTTTTTTTAAAGGACACTATTCACAGAGTGTAAAAGCCTGTAAAAGGGATAATATTCAGAATATATAGAGAACTTCTAAGTATAAAGTGGCATATATCCATACAATGAAATGTTATTCAGCCTTAAAAAGGAGGGATATTCTGGCACCTGCTGCCACTCAGTTGAGCCTGGAGGACACTGCGCGAGTGACGCGAGCCAGTGCCACGGGACTCCTCTTGTATGAGGTCCTAGAGCCGCCAGATCATGGAGACAGAGGGCAGGTGGTGGTTGCAGGGAACTGAGAAGTCATTGCTTAAGAGAGTTCTGGAGATATGGGGGGGACAGCTGCAAAACACTGTGAATGTACTTAGGGATACTGAACTGCACACGTAAAATGGTTAAGTGGCAAATTTTATGTGATGTGTATTGTACTACAATAAAAGAAATGGAGGGGAACAAGATGTCCACAGGAGGCTGTGAAAAGCTGTGATTCATTCCTATGATACAGACGGCCACACACATATGCAGGGCTGTGTATGTGATCAGGAAAGGCCAGAGACGGCTAAAAGCTCTCCCACCCGGCTGATCTTGGGATTCTGTGAGTTAGGAAGTGAAGGCTAAAGCAAAGAGTAAGTGGCTAGAGTATTGAAGATATGCCCCAACACACACACACACAGCCCCCAAGCAAGGGCTAGGGGACTTACTGGTTCAAATCATTTAAGGAAATCTCTGTTCAATCACCAGATGACCAGGAAACTAACAGTAGTCACACATGACAAATAATACACTTTACAGAATTGGTCTAGGAAAGTCACTAAAACAAAAAGCAGCAACATCCACAAACCCTTAAGAGGGAAGGGTTTGACTTCCAGAGTTATCACATCATATTATTTAAAATGTTTAGTTTTCAACAAAGTTATGAGATACATAAAGAGACAAAAAAGTGGCCCCCGTGCAGAGGAAAGTAAGCAGCCAAAGCAGTCACTGAGGGGGCCCAGATGCTGTACTTACAAGACAAAGATCTGAGATCAGCTATTATAATTATGTTCAAATAATTGAAGGAAA